CATTCCGACAGGATTGAACTGCCATTTTGGCCTCGCTGATGAGGCCTGGGCAATCTCGCTGATGCCTCTTTTTGGGTCGTTAAGCCTTGATGACCCGGACCTGGCCAGCGTGAGCTCACACACGCAGACCGACAGACACACTCGAGTAAAAGTACCATGAACACTATGAAAGAGAATTATCCAAATCATTTGATATCTATCCATCTTAGTGTATATATTTTCGCTTGTCAGTTATGAGTATGCATAAAATGTCGGATAGAGCCGGAAAGGGTTCTTGCAAATCTTGCTTCTTGTAAATCTTGCAAAAATGAGTTCCAGTGCTGATAATCTGTGTCGTGTTACATGATAGAGGAAACCTCAGCCCGTTTCTGCCTGAAGCGGGAAAAAAATCAGCTTGGTCGGCTGATTTGATGGCCTCTGCAGACATACCATAATCGCCCAATCGACAAGCACGAGATCATTGAATCTCATTTTTCGTTAGGGATGAGAATAGCATTTGGGAAGGCAAGGCTTCATGAGATTAAATGGAATGTAAGGTCTACTCATATCATTGTGGGAATATTCAACTAACAGTCCTTGATCGCTTTCAATGAAATATGGTGATCACATTTTATAGCAAGCTAAACTGGACAATTGGTCAAATTTCTCGCTAAGAGTGGGCATAACTGAAGAAAGTGTTATATTTTCTTTGAAAAACTTTTTATTCTTTACTTCCTTAATAGTTTTCCCATCTACGAGAGCACAATAGGCCAAATCAGGCATTTACTTTTATATTTTTTCACATCTCCCCACGTAGTTCCCATTGAAAAGCCGAGTTTATTCATCTAACGTTCTTTCACCGAAGCCTCTGGGATAATTATTCTCAACTCGTGTTGCTTGACGCCTAAACAGCTCCTTATCTCAATGGTCCCTCTTGGCTAATTTTATACTCCGAATAAGCATTGACTTTAAAAAAGCAAGCTTCATTTTGTAGGCAAGTTTGGAGAAGACGTTGAGGGTACAGTCAGCATGTGTTGGCTTCCCAAATACATATTTTTCGTAGCACAATTAGGTTTTTGAGACCGCCAGTAGGGCCTATCCACTGCCCTGCCCAACTCCTCTCCTGCCCGGATCGCTAAATCACCCAAAAACGCAAAACAATTTTCCTCCATCGCCATCGAATGAGATCACCTCGTAGACGGCGTCGACAAAATGCAAGAGTGAAGCCAACAGACCGGTGGCCAGGAAGAATCCGCCATCGTTCTCTGGTGGTACCGACTTTCGACTCTATTCCTCGCACACACACGCAAACACCCACAACCACGCACAGCTTGCCTCAAAATGCAGGCTAGCTCTGCAATGAGAAGATGCGAGTCAAACCGACAGGATAGCCCACAAGTAGCCTTGTTCATGCAAGCCGGGAAGAGACGTGGAAAGGCAATCATGCTCCAGAACGGGATCGGAAGGATTGAAGTGGCGCCGTGATCATGCCGGGACTGCCGCAGAAGCCAGACAGTCGAGTCTGCTGTAGCCTCGAACGCATCGAAAGGAGGACCAAATTCAGTTCCTCGTCTACCCCAAACTTGGGCTCGTGCCCGCTTGACTACGACTTCGAGGCGCACAGACCCTTCGGTTTACTTTCGGCCGTCGGACGATCGCAGGTTCGAGTCCGTATATGATAATCTGTCAGGTGTGTG